GATGCTGGGAATTATTCAAATGACACCCATCATCTGATGGAGGATATCGCTTTTGATGCCAAGTGAGCTTTGAAAAATGCAAATGAACTCAATCACAGAAACACACTTTATCTATATAGAGAAATATGATGTTAGAACAATCTTCCCAGACAAAATGAATCTGAGCCTGAAGTGACCTACCTGTACAATGTCAAAGGGGGGGCCAAAGATTCCAATTCATATATGGGCCATTTAAGGCAAAGATTTGGCACTTATGACAAAATGTAATCTGAATGTGAGCCTAATGTTATGTGGAAAATGGTAAATTTAGCCTAAATGACAGAGGACAATTGTGGGCCAGTTGGCAAAATAGTGACATAGTCATTTAAGGGTAATCTGGGTCTAAACCTAAAGTGGCTCACACGTGTAGATCCAAATGTGTCCCAGATATCTTAAGACATATGTGGGCCACTTTAGGCAAATATTTGACGCTGTAAGCTCTGGCTATTGTGGCTGTGAGCCTAATGTGGCCCAGAGAAAATACGGCAAATGTGGCCCAGTCATCCTAAGACATATGTGGGCCACTTTTGGCAAATATTCAGCACAGTAAACTCTGGCTAATGCAGCCGTTAGCCTTCAGTGGTCCAGAAAAGATATGAAAAATGTGGTCCAGTTATCCTAAAACATATGTGGGCCAATTTTGGCGAATATTTGGCACAGTAAGCTATGGTTAATGTGGATTTGAGCCTATAGTGGCCCAGAGGAGATATGGCAAATGGTGCCCAGTTATCTTAAAACATATGTGGACCACATAGATCAAAGTCACCTTCATGGAGAAAAGTGTTTGCATAAGTTGGGCTCATAGCCCTGAACCTCTTAATATTAATTTTCTTTTGAGCTGCTGTAACTTTTAAGATCTTTGCTTGAAAAGTTTGTTCATTACAACAAACAAAATGAAGTGAGGCACAACCTGTGATTAAATAATACAATTCACTGATGTTTACCAATGTTTAATCCATTATTAGATAATGGATTAATAATAAGTTTTAATAGGGCAGATCTGGGCCGGAATAAAAGCAAACTGTGGCCCAGAATAGGGTCAGTTCTGGTTCATTTGGTTGAATTCTGGCTGATATGTGATATTGCTTTGGCTTATTTGTGGCCCAGATCTGGCAAACAGGAGTGGACCGCCCTAGAGCCACCATTCCATTCAGTATGTGGTCCAGATGTATGTGTCTGGTGTGGGTTAGATCTGGGCCAGAATAAAAGCAAACTGTGGCCCAGAATAGGGTCAGTTCTGTTCATTTAGATGAATTCTGGCTGATGTGTGATGTTTCTATGGCTTAATTGTGGCCCAGATCTGGCAAACAGGAGCGGATTGGCCAAGTGCCATTATTCCATGCGGTATGTGGGCCGGATGTAAGTGTCTGGTGTGTGCCAGATTTGAGCCTCGTGAATTTTGCTAGCTGGCAATATTTTTTCAATTGTCTACAGAACAAACCACCGTTATACAATGACTTGCCTAATTACCCTAACTTGCCTAATTATCCTTATTAACCTAGTTAAACCCTTTAAATGTCACTTTATGCTGTATTCTAGCCTCTTGAGAAACACCTAGTAAAATATTATGTGCTGTCATCATGGCAAAGATAAAATAATTCAGTTATTAGAGATTAGTTAAATCAAAATGGCTAATAATTCAAACTTTAACTGTATTTTTAGCTTAGAAATATAACAAAAATAACTGAACTAAAAACAGAACAAATATAAAAATGTAATTTAAAATCGGAATGAAATAAAATAGTCTCTCAAAGTTACTAGGAACTCTTCTTCACCATGTCAAGTAAGCCCCAGACAAAAGAAATGAAGCAAATAAGCAATGAAACATGACTTTAAACCCATATGTGCTCCACAAGAGAAATGAATCGTTCAGAAGCAGGTGAAATCAAACTGCTATCCGACTCAAAAAATCTTGCAACGTTGCAGGAGCCAAAAAATCAGTCTCCGCTCTCACTGGCATCTAACTCTCTCTTCACCTCGGCTGTCATGTTCTTCAGTTTTAGGCGTGAGAAAGCAACAAGTCTGAAAATTCACTCACAATAAAAGAAGTGTCTAGTTTCTCCAAGAGCGCAGCAGGAGGAGGAGTCCATACCCTTGCTATACACGCTGGTTCTACGCGTTAGAAGAACACAACGGTAAGATCCAAATGGAGCGGGGCAAGAATCACAGGTCACTGGGTGAACACAGCGGGCTTCTCTAATGGCCGATTGAAGGGATTAATATCCCGAGGACCACAGCAGGTGAGAAATCAAACACAGATTCAACCTTAAATTCGCTAGCTCCTCTAAGAGAAGACATGCTGGTAAACAATCTCAAACTGTGAAGTGACTGTGGCTGTGGAATGAGGGAAAGTGTAGTTTATCTGTCCAGCATGATGATGGCGATATAGTTGAGTCTTTATGGTTAAAGTACAAACGAAATCAAAACTAGCCAAATGATTTTGTTCGTTCATATTGCTAGTTTTGTGGTGAACAAATCTTCTGTGCCTTTAAGAAGAAAAAAAGTTTGCTCTTGTAATCTAAAATTGAAATCTGAAAATGCATTTAATGTTTGTTTTCAGTTAAATTTTCAGATTAGGTCTAACCACGCCCCTCCAACTGCCAGTTATGACAACAAACAGAAATAGTGAGGAGGAGGTGTCTGATAGCTTGTAATAACTCTTCTAAAACCCATTTCCGGATCTTTCTGAATGAAATACCTACTTTACTACATCAAATCAGCTTGCAGTAGAAAAAACAAGCCATGCCCACTGTTTTCTCATTTAGTAATCTGTTTCTCTGCAGCACAATATGAACCCAATACGAACCAAAACGAAAAAATTAATGCTTGCAGTTTCAGGATCATGTTGACTGTAAGGGCTTAACGTTTAAAAAAAACCAAATAAGAAAAAAATAAAAATAGTAATAATAATTTGCCTCTTTGCAAATTTAAATTTTCATCAAACATATTAACATATTGGCATTTACAATCTTTTTTTGCAGTATTGTAAAACCAGCAAGATTCATTACTGTTCAAAAGATATAGAGCTCTATAATGATCTAGGCGCAAAGTCTAAAGTGCAGGGGAAAAAGCATTAAGGGCGTATCAGAATCCACTTTTGCTATTTTAAGGATGGAAAAATACGCTCTGCGCCCCGGCGCATGGTCTAACAGGTTGAGCTTACTCTCTTAATGAGTTATTGGTGTGTTTTAAGAATAAACCAATCAGAGTTTCATGTCCCATTCCCTTTAAGAGTCAGTTGCGTCGCGCCATGGTGGATTTGCTATTTACACGGCGGACTTTGTAAGTGGAAAAAGGGAACGCTTTCCTAGCGAGAAAACAGTTGAACAGACCATCTGCAGCGTGAGGATAAAGAATGATTCTCCTCCAATCGTCCTCTTTACTTTCTCTTTCACTTTCTGTCCTTCATTGATAAGGAAATGTGTTGTACGCAGACATCTGTTAGCCTACATAATTAATTTTGTTTGTTAAGTGCAAAGATTTGTTCCAAAACTATTTATAATTTCAGTTCTAATTTCCAGCAAACGAATAAATGAACAATAATAACGAAGTGTACGAAACTGAGATATATCCAAAGACACTTCCTATGCCTCATATGGTTCAAAACCTGACAGGTAGACAAATCTAAGCTTGTTTTTAATAAAACAAATATAAATATGTATATAATACTGCTAATAATAATAACTTTATACAAAAGTACATTGTCGTGAATAAATGGAAAAAAGCCCCAGAGATAAAGAAGGCATGGAGGCAGTGTTTTTATATTTATATAGAAAGTAATAAATTTTGTAATATTTTAATCCTTTAATTATTTTTTATCTTTAAAGATATTTCTGTATTGCTGTGCATCCTGTGTGCTTCAAGCAATGTGTAAGCGAAGTGCCCAACTGACATGCTCTGCTCTGGACTTCAGACCTGCTTTTAGTTGGTCTATTGCACAGTCTATTTTAGTTCAGTAAAATAGCAACACGCCAACAATGCGTCTTAACACACCTCTATTCTAGACCGAGACACCCATGAGTCTACAAAGTGGCGCAAATGGATTTGCTATTTAACGTGGCTGAAAATGGAAAATTAAGGTTGCATATCCATGCTACAAATATAAATAAAAGTCATTTTTCAATCAAAAAAAATATTATAAGTTTCTATAGAATCAGTTTCTCCAGTACTTAATGCCTTGTGATCAAGACATATTTTAAGCTGATTTTCTGCTTTAGAAATAATATTCTTATTTATTTATTAACTGCTTTTGTTGTAAAAACAAAACTCCTGCAATATAATAAAGTGTAATTTTTTGTTATTATTATTTCAGGAATATAAAGATTAATAAGATTTTTATATATCTCTCTCAATAAGATCATCATTTATTTTAAATGGATGTAACATTTTAAATGTAATTGTAAAAAAAAATGTTTAAAATATTATAGTTGTCTTTACTGAGATGTATTAAACTATAAAGACACAGAGACTGGATTGACAAATGACACAAACTGGACTATTTGGTGCATTAAAGCTCAGCAGGTTGAATAAAATAACAATGAATAAATATTTCATGCTGTGGAAAACCTACTGTGTAACCAAGCTGTTTTTTTTTCCTGAACTCTTTCATACACCAGCCCATTACATAATGTTTCAATCCGAAAGCTGAAGAAAGATTTTCTCTTTAAACACAGTCGGGGGCCGTTTCACTCATCTGACACAAAACACCAGAGCATCTTCCTTCAAGTTCTTGATGTGAGACCTGGCTGAGCCAAAGCAACTGACTGTATAGTGAGTCAGCAGCTCACATATATGTATGTTCAGAATAAAAACAAAACATTTTTTGGTGTTATTTATCAATATTTTATTTTTAAGGTTATTTTAAGGTCAGCAAAAGCTCCAAAACAGTGACAAAAATCACTTTCAGAAGCATTCAAAACTTTGTGCTAACACACAGCTGTATATACAGTAGACACTCTTACCTTTGCGATCTGCACACACCAGTTGAGCAGCAGCTGTGAGCCGATGTTGTCCTGGTGTTCATGAACGTAGTCCAGCAGGCAGCCGTGGGGCATGAGCTGAGTCACCAGCTGAATAGTGGGACTCAAGCAGACCCCTAAAAGACGCACCAGATGAGGATGCTCCATACTGGCCATGATCAGCGCCTCCTGAGGGACACCCAAAGAAACACTGGAAATGTGCTTTTTATATCAACCCCCGGGATCATTTCCAATATATTTTCTAATTAGTACTTTAAAGTTAGGTTGGTTGTTGCCAACTATCTCAATACAATGTACATTAACATCATGTTTTAATCAATATCAAAACTGCTCAAAAGAGACCCAGTACCTGGACAAGAAAGTCTGAATCTGTGTTCTGCGTTTCAGTTTACACAATAAAAAATGCTGGGTTCCACACAATACTAAATTACAAATTTAAGTGCATTGAACATAACAAATTAAGTCACCCCCCCCCCCCAAAAAAAAGTTATTAAATTAATAAATAAGTAGTTTGAACAAGCAGCAAAAGTAGTTTTTTGAGTGTATTACAAAGACAAGACATATTTAGGCCATGGGTTTATTTGTTGGGTTTGTTTGGGTGCGATTTACATAATAGTGTTTTCAAGATGCATTATCATCCATTGGTGGCAAAAAAAAAAAAATAAACTATGCACTGAACCAAATGAAGCTAGCATATTTTGCTGATTATTGCTGCTGAAAATGATCAGTTATTAACATGTTGGGCTGATGGTGTTTGTGGTTGGTCAATCTATTGCAGGATTCCAGGGCAAGAATCTTGACAACAGTCGTTCATATTTCAAAAGAAATCAGCTCGTTTATTAGTGCACATTTCAGGCCTCATGCAGGTATGTCTCTCATGTACAGTTGAAGTCAAAATTATTAGCCCCTTTTTGATTATTATTATTTTTTTTATATTTCCCAAATGATGTTTAACAGAGCAAGGAAATTTTTACAGTATGTCTGATAATATTGTTTCTTATGGAGAAAGTCTTATTTGTTTTATTTCGGCCTGAATAAAAGAAGTTTTTAATTTTTAAAAAAACAATTTTGGGACAAAATTATTAGCCCCTTTAAGAATTTTTTTTCCCCGATAGTCTACAGAAAAAACCATCGCTATACAATAACTTGCCTAATTACCCTAACCTGCCTAGTTCACCTTATTAACCTAGTTAAGCTTTTAAATGTCACTTTAAGCTGTATAGAAGTGTCTTGAAAAATATCAAGTAAAATATTATTTACTGTCATCATGACAAAGATAAAATAAATTAGTTATTAGAAATAGGTTTCTAAAACTATTATGCTTAGAAATGTGATAAAACAATCTTCCCTCCATTAAACAGAAATTGGGAAAAAAAATAAACAGGGGAGCTAATAAGTCAGGGGGGCTTATAATTCTGACTTCAACTGTATATGAGAAAAATATTTGCGGTGATTAAGCTGTTTTTTTCTGATGTGTTTGCCAGCCATTGTTGACAGAAGACTCAGAAATCGAAAGCACTTCCTGTCTGTTTTACTAATTTTACAAAAAACGTATTGTTTTGTTGTAATTATCAATATATACCATTAAAAACAGACCCTTCACAGTGTTCAAATTTCAAAGTTCAAATACGATCAAAAATGAGAGAGCATTTTAAACTCCTTTTATGGAATAGTGTTCTAAAACGCATATCCACATTTGCCGACCCCAGGGGGTTAAATAACATATTTAATGATGATGAAATAAATGTGCGGATGATTTCACATTTTGGGTTCCCGAATCAACTGTAATTGTGATTGCAGTTCTGAAATCAAAAGGTGTGTAGCTAATGGACCGAATGCAATGCTATCTATGAAATGTCAAATATCAGTCTGGGCATAAAATTTAAAATGGTCCAAGTGATTGCATTCTGCATATTTATGAATGGATGCGAAAGTTGGACAGTGCAAAAGGCAAAGAAAAGTGAATTGATGTGTTTGACTTCTGGTACTGGAGACACCTATGGATTCTGTGAAAGGCAAAAGTAACAAACAAACAAGTGCATCAAACCGGACTTGTCATTAAAAGGAAAATAAAATAGCATATACTGATTTCCAATCCATTGAAAAAAAAACCCAAAACAGCAGATCAGGCAGTCAATGAGGTCATTGGTTGGACACAATCAAAGCTGACACAGGCCTCTCAAAATATTAATTGGGAATCACAGAACATCATCAACTCAAATGTTAGGCTACTATCTTTTTGATTACAGCTCACATACATATTACCTATTAAATTCAGGTTGCAAAAAACCGCACCAATTCCTGATTACTAAGTCCTTCCTTAAATTATTTTGAATATCCCACAAAATTGATTTCCTGTGGTTTAGACAGCATAAACAGGCAGAACAATGTATTCAGTAGTATATAAACCATGCAATCAATGATGTTGTTAACATCTGAGTATTGGCAGAATGGCTGTGAATACATGTAACCGACCAAATCTTGAAGTAATTGCAAACACTCAATACAGGACAGGTTACAGATTTACTATAGTGTGAGAGCAACTCTCCCTAATGTTGATGGTAGTATAACAAGCTCATTTGCATAATGACAAATGCAATCTCCCAAGGACAGCGCAAATTAGGTAGTGAACAAGCAGAGCTGATTGTAATCAGGTGCAGTTAACCTGAAAACATGCTAAATGATTTAATGCTGCCTTTACAGTACGTTCTAACGGAATTTTAGGAGACTGTTTCCTTGTTGAAAATAAGACTTGAATGGCTCTGAAGTCATATTTACAGCTGGGATGTTGATTTTGATAGCTGAGCTTCTGCGTTGGTGAGATCCAAGAACCTTAAACATGGTGATGAGGAGAACAATTGCTCTTTATTTTCTTTATTTTAGAACGTACTGCATATTTTATATATATATATATATATATATATATATATATATATATATATATATATATATATATATATATATATATATATATATATATATATATATATATATATATATATATATATATATATATATATGAACAATCAATTAAAGCATATTTTAGGTTTCATAAATGGTAAAGTTTGCAAGCGTTTGAATTAAGAATCATTTTAATTCGATAGTCAATAAACTAGATGCTACTGCATTTGAATGCATCAAAATTGTTACTAGGGATGTCCAGATCCGATCACGTGATCAGAAAGCGGGCTTGATCACCTGGTTTCAGACTTGAACGGAATTGAACATTACCTTCTGATCATATTTAAATGTACAGCTGCCATCAGAATTATTAGCCCCCCTGAATTATTAGCCCCCCTTGTTTATTTTTCCCCCAATTTCTGTTTAACGGAGAGAAGATTTGTTCAACACATTTCTAAACATAATAGTTTTAAAAACTCATCTCTAATAGCTGATTTATTTTATCCCTGCAATGATGACAGTAAATAATATTTTACTAGATATTTTCAAGACACTTCTATACAGCTTAAAGTGACATTTAAAGGCTTAACTAGATTAACTAGGCAGGTTTGGGTTATTAGGCAAGTTATTGTATAATAATGGTTTATTCTGTAAACTATCAGAAAAAAAAATAGCTTAAAGGGGCTAGTAATTTTTACCTTAAAAAAAAAAAAATCAAAGGTGGTTAGATAATACTCATTGCAACTGTACATATTTAAATTCTCGTTACTTTTTAACAATCTATAGTTATGTGGTGGCAACAGAGTTGTTTCTTGACTTCACACAGAAGTTGAAGCTTGAAGCAGAAAGTGCAAGTATGTCTGCAGGCTGTAGGTAATATAAAGTTGATGACGACAACATTGGCTTTGGCAATATTGTGACATATGTAAACTTGGGATTGCAAGAGGTGGAAGGAAAAGGCTATATTTAACACAACAAACCTGATGAGGCACCTCTAAAACAAACACCCAACACAATACAGCGAGTTTACCCAGGCAACCCAACCGAAGACGAGGCGGCTCAAGCTGCAGGAGAGTTTGAAGAGGAGAGAAAAATGCTCCGTGACAATGCAAAGGCACGGGACAGAACCAGAACCACAGGACCTGCCATTCAGAACCCTGGGTTCTTTTGCTTATGAAGCATGTCGAACCTTGATTTAATTTTTTTTGTATTATAGAAGTATCAGATCGTATTTCAGTATCGGTAGACCCTCAAAATGAAATGACTCGGCCTCAAGGGCAAAAAAAAAACCTGATCTGGACATCCCTAGTTGTTACCATAACTTTATAAGTGGGAAGTAGGACTTTTCCAATAGTATCAAGGCAACATAAGAGTTAAAAATGGTGCAAATATCGGTCAACTGACTATTGCAAACCTTAGTACATTATCCAGCTGGATTCATCCAAATACTCCTGTAATAAATTATACATTTGAAAAGAGTGCATGTATTGACAGCAAAGAGGGTTTGAACTGGTGCAAGCTGCTAGTAAATCTGCCCCTTTGCCTTTAGACTGTACTTCATAATATTTATAATATTACAGTAATCAGCACAGTTAGTTTCAAAATTAAAAATATCGGGTAACACGTTAAAATAATGGTCCATTAGTTAATATATTTACTGTACCAACATGAACAAACAATTAGTAATACATTACTGTATTTATTCATCTTTGTTGTACTTGGTTAATATTATTTAAGTTAAATAAAGTTTGTTCAGGTTAGCTCATGTTAACCTACATGCTGGACTTATAATAATGCATTAGTTATGCTGAACTATGATCAATAAATGCTTTACACGATTATTCAGTAACACTTTATTTTGATGGTCTATTTGAGAATTAGTACACTCTCTGCTTAATATCTGCTGATACTGCTCCTTCAACAGACATTTAACTCACTATAAGAAACTTTGTAAGAACATGTCAACTTACACTAACCCTAACCGAACCTAACAGTCTACAAATAATCTAATGAGAATTATTTGGCATGTAGATGCAATGTAACTTAAATTCAACAAACGGATCATCAAAATAAAGTGTGACCATTTATTTATACTCGGGTAATGTTAGTAAATGCAACAAAGTGTTGCCAAATAATGCTAATCAGCATCTAAAAACAATTCCAAAGGATTATGTGATGTTGATGTAATCGTTTTAATTTAACATTTTTAAAAAAATCACATTTATAAATTCACAACACACTAAATATCATAAACACAACTCGTTGATTTGCAGTGGTAGTGTACTGGAGATTTCCAGTAAATTAATTGACCCTTCTGCGCTTGCATTCTTACTTTGTAAAGTATAGTTTAACTGTAAATTACTCACATCCATAAACTCCACATTGGCTTTAGGTCCCGTGCTTTCATTGAGTATCTTTATGGCCACAGGAATCTTCACAGTTTCCCCTTCTGGAACCCAGATTCCCTTATAAAGAAGATTGCAGAAGAAGTCAATTGCAAGCAAAAAAAAAAAAAAATAATAATAATAATAATAAAAAAAAATAATAATAATAATAAATAATAAAATAAAATAAATAAAGAAAAATAAATAAATACTACTACTACTACTACTACTACTACTACTACTACTACTACTATGCATATTTATTGTTAAAGAAGCAAATACAACTCAATCACACAAACAGAAACACAAAAAATGAATGCAGTACCTTGTAAACAGTGCCAAATGCTCCAGTTCCCAAGATCTTGACCCTCTTGAGCTCAGTTTCCTTCAGTATGCGTAACTGTGCCTGGTTAGGAGCCGTGCCACTGGGTGTTAAAGGCTCCACCAACTGCTCAAGACACAAAATCAAAACCAAAGTCACTCTACATGATCAGAGAACATATAAACTGTAACTACAACACCTACTTAAGTTTAAACTTATATGTTCCTCCTGATTTTACTAGTTCATCAAGTATAAATATGCTCCTTATGTTATAGACATGGTTCCCAATTGCAATGCGTTACTTCTTAAATTCTTTTATTGACATTATTTGACTTGACGTACCATTTCTAAACTGATTGTTAAACTTATCAGGAGGTTCATGACTACCAGGTACTTTTAATTTCAATCAATTCACCTGAGAAAGTTCCTAAAACATTCTTACATCTCAATTATGATTTTAATACCACAACCTCAAACTATTATGACAAGATTTTCTGTATGACACACAATACTCACTTGCCACTGACAATTTTCTTCAGCTGACCGCGTCAAAAATGACTGTCAACACCAGACAACCCCCCCCCCCCCCCCCCAAAAAAAAGAAAAAAACTTTAATTTTTTTTCTTTGAAGTTTGGAAGACCTCAACATTAGAATTTTAATAAAAAACCTGAAAAATCACATGTACATCATTATTGACAGCCTTTGCTCAATACTTTGTTGATTTGGTAGCAATTACAGCCTCAAGTCTTTATGAATATGATGCCACAAGCTTGCCACGCTTGTCTATGTGAATTTTTGCCCATTCCTCGTTGCAGTACCTCTCAAGCTCTGTCAGGTTGGATGGAAAGCGACGGTGTACACCCATTTTCAGACCTCTCCAGAGATGTTCAATAGGATTTAGGTCTGGGCTCTGGCTTGGCCCCTCAAGGACATTCACTGAGTTGTTGTGAAGCCACTCCAGTGATATTTTGGCGGTGTGCTTTGGGTCATTGTCCTGCTGGAAGATGAACCGTCACCCCAGTCTGAGGTCAAGAGCACTCTGAAGCAGGTTTTCATTCAGGATGTCTCTGTACATTGCTGAATTCATCTTTCCCTCTATCCTCATTAGTCTTCCAGTTCCTGCTGCTGAAAAACATCCCCACAGCATGATGCTGCCACCACCATGCTTTACTGTAGGGATGGTAGTAGTCTGGTGATAAGCTGTGCCTGGTTTTCTCTAAACATAACGCCTAGCATTCACTCCAAAAAGTTCAATTTTAGTCTCCTCAGACCAGAGAATTTTGTTTCTTATGGTCTGAGAGTCCTTCAGATGCCTTTTGGCAAATTCCAGGCAGGAAGTGGCTTCCGTCTGGCCACTCTACCATACAGGCCTAATTGGTGGATTGCTGCACAGATGGTTATCCCTCTGTAAGGTTCTTATCTTTCAACAGAAGAACGCTGAAGCTCAGATAGAGTGACCATCGAGTTATTGATCACCTCCCTGACTAAGGCCCTTCTCCCCCGATAACTCAGCTTAAATGGCCGGCCAGTTCTAGGAAGAGTCCTGGTGGTTCCAGACATCTTCCACTTACAAATGATGGAGGCCGCTGTGCTCACTGGAACTTTCAGAGCAGCAGAAATTTTTCTGCAACCTTCCCCAGCCTTGTGCCTCAAGACAATCCTGTCTCAGAGGACTACAGACAATTCCATTGTCTTCATGCTTGGGTTGTGCTTTGACATGCACTGTCAACCCTGGGACCTTATATCGACAGGTGTATGCCTTTTCAAATCATGTCCAATCAACTAATTAAACTCTAATTAAGCTGCTGAAACATCTTAAGAATGATCAGTGGAAACAGACTGTACCTGAGCTCAAATTAAAGCTTCATGGCAAAGGCGGTGAATACTGATATAACATGATTTTTCAGGTTTTTTATTTTCTATTGTATTGTATGCAGGTACTTTTACCTTTAAAAAATATACCCTTTCTTTACTTTACTTAAATTGAGTGTTGCCCGCTGATTAAACACTGATGAAAAACTTCACATTGATGAGGGAAAACCTAGACATTCACTGAGTTTGTGATGAAGAAGAGGTTGTTTATTCATGCAAAACAGATCTGAGGATAAAATTATTTAGCTGCTTAATTTTATTGGTTTAGACAATGCAGGTAATTTTTTTTTTAACCCAGAAAGCAAACGGTGTAAACAGAATTCAAGGACAACAGGAGGGTTGACCATACCATAGGATGCTATACTTGCTTTTCTGTATGCTCTGAACGAGTACAGAATCTCAAGCTCTAATGTCAGCTCTACAAAGAGGTGCATGACTGTCTAATCTACTGGATGTATGTTTTGATCAGAGTCCTGAATTTGCTTTAGATGCAGTCCTTGACAAATATGTTTATTTTGCCCTAGTATGACACAGAACACTTTCTTAAATTATTTAACTAATTTTCTTGAACGAACACTTTCTTTTGAATACATAGTATCAGACATTTTTACAACAGTATACAAGTTTTGTGAAAAAGATACAATACTATAGTACCCTTTTAAATAAAAGAAATGCTGGAAAGGAAAGCCAAACACTGCAGAAGAAACCAAAACTTAGATGCTTCATCTGCTGTTCTACATTCTGCAGTTTTCATCACTGTGCAGAGCTTGCCCATCATGTATTCAGTTCAAAATAGTGTACTGCTCAACCTTCAAGGTTCTTTATAGTCTGCACCTCATTATCCGTGTGAGATACTGCATCCATATATTGCACGTGTGCTTTGGGTTCAGACTGCTCATTTTCCACAGACTTCTACTTCAACTTTTATATGGGTAAGAGATTTTTAAGGCAGTCCACTGACTTTCACTTCCATTTCCACCTTTAAGCATCAGAATTGTCACAATTTGGAAATATTTTTTCTTCTAATGATTAATGTAAGGATTTTTGGCCTTTTTTATTTATCATAAACCCACCCTAAACTTTGAGAAACCAACACTTCAATAAAATATCATGACTGCAGACCTCATTTCAGAATACATTTCTTTTATTAATGCTGATATTTTTAAGTATATTTGCTCACACTTTATTTTAAGGCAGGGGTCTCAAACTAAAATTGGCAGGGAGCCATTTTAGTGAATGACAATTCATAGGAGGGCTGTTTAAACATTTAATCATGTGAAAAAAGTGGAAACCTGATGCTATTAATGCACTCAGACATTCTTCCCCAGAGAATCAAAGCTACTTCTTTTTGTTTCTTGTTGTTCATATTGAAGGGGTAGTTTAAATTGCTATGAAAATGCTACAATTTAATGATAATATTAATAATAATATTAATAATAATAATAATAACAATAATAATAATAATAATGATAATAATAATAAAACAACAACAACAACAATCACAATAACAATTAAAAAACAATAAAATAATAATAATAATAATAATAATAATAAATAAGAACAACAACAAAAACAACAACAACAACAATAATAATAAAAAATAAATTAATAATAATAATAATAATAATAATAATAATAATAATAATAATAATAATAATAATAATAAATAAGAACAACAACAAAAACAACAACAACAACAATAATAATAAAAAATAAAAATAATAATAATAATAATAATAATAATAATAATAATAATAATGACAAGATATTATGTCATTCTAACTTTTTTTTCCTCACCGCCAAGTTTGCTTTTTTTTCACCATGCACTTCTTTATTAATGAACCTGCAATACGGGATTTATATAAATGAAGTAGCTCCTAAAACAGCAGATCAGTTTAGTGCAATACACTCGCCCAACTGCAACTTCCATAATATTGACTTAAAGCTGATATAAAAAGCATCCACAGTGGCTCCACAACATTTTGAAGTATTTTTATAAGTTTCCATTTAAAGGTCTAAAAATGACTCCCATTATTCCATTTGAGGTTTCCTGCCATTGAAGTGAGAGAGGCACTTTCAAATGGAAAATTGAGGCTGGCTATAGACCTGACAGACCCTTCATTGCACCATCACACCAATTGCACTGGCCAGGCTTTCTGTGTGCTATCCAGATCTCATGTTTCCTGAGACCAAATGTGGTCAATAATATGTATGTATCGCATTCAAATTATTCAAACCTTTTTAAACATTGTGGGATTTGATCTCTCACCTCAGTTTCTAGGAAACGTCGTAAAGCTCTCTTCTTCTTTATGCTTTTTCGGCGGAAAAAGATGGCAAATCCAAGAGCCACAATTACGACCACAAACATCCCACCAATCACCCCAGCTGCAATCAGAGGAGTCCTGGAGGAAAATGCAGTCGCTTAAAACCGAGAAACTGCAACATATTAAACTGCTGAGGCAAAACAACTGTGTGTTTATTCATTCATTCATTAATTCATTCATTCATTCATTCATTCATTCATTCATTCATTCATTTATTCATTCATTCATTCATTCAATCAATTATTAAATAATTAATTATTTTGGCATTTTAAGAGTATAATTACAGCACCCAGCAAATATTTTGAATATTTTGCTCACTGTCATATTTTTTATGATGTCATTTACATCCTCGCTATTTTATCGCCTCTGCTCTCTTATTACCTGTTCCACCTGTCTGTCATTGTGTATTTAACGGTTGTTGTTAGAAGGGATACAGCTGCAAGTTAATGATAATTATATATATTATTTATTATATTACCCATTAATTCTATTTTATTACACAAACCCCAAACCTTACACTCACGGGAATGTAACAACAATAATTGCAACAACAATTATTTATGTTATTTATTAAATCACTCATTAAGTTGTATTTTATTAATGTCTACCCCTTCCCAAACGCTAAACCCAACCCTCTCAGTAATGTAAAAATATGGATCATTGTTGTACAGTGTCACAAAAATGATGCTATATTGATGCGAGTATCCTCAGCTTTATCCCTTCTAGACTTTACTAGCTTTAAGCCTCTGTGCTTCTGCCCTGATTGTCAATTGTTAAATGTGTCTATGTGTAATATTGTTTCTGGACTATTCATTACAATACTATGTAAATGCTTTTTTTTCCCTGAATGTTCTCTTTTTATTCCAAAAATAAAAAGGGTTGGTTACATAAATGTTAAAAGGAAACAGTAAAGAAACATTCATATTTATCAAGTGTCTGAACGGTAGTATAGAAATGTTGTATTTAGGACCTGCTAAATATAATTTACACTGTCATAAAAGCTATGCATTGAACAGTATAAATACAAAACTTAAATGAAATTATGAAGTCATTAAGGCATTTACCTGTCCAGTATCCCGATACAATCTTGGATCCGGGGTCCAGTACACCTATGACACAGATAAATAATAATTAAAACAATATAACTACAGTAGAGACTATTGTTGTTTTTTATAATAATAATAATAATAATAATAATAATAATAATAATAATAATAATAATAATAATAATAATAATAATAATAATAATAATAATAGCTTTGTAATAGCTTATCACATGGTACAAAATTTGGGGTTATTTATTTATTTTTATATTAAATTTACACTTTATTTATTTATTTATAAATTAATTTAGCACTTATTTATTTATTCATTTGTTAAATAAATTACCACAAATTTATTAATTTTTAAATGAAATTAGCACTTTATATATTTATTCATTTATTTTTAAATGAAATTAGCACTTTATTTATTGATTTAAAATTATTATAGCACTTCTTTATTTATTAGTTTATTACACAAATTACTACAAAATTATTTATGTATTTATTTATTTGTTCATTTATTTTCAAATCAAATTAGCAATTTATTTATATATTTATTGTTCATTTATTTTAGCTTATTTATTAGTTTATTATATACATTAACACTAATTTATTTATTTTTTAATTAAATTAGCACTTTATTTATTTGTTATATAAATTAGCACTATTTTATTTATTTTTCAAATTAAATTAGCACTTTATTTATTTCTTTGTTTGTTTGTTTTTTTTATTAATGTATTTATTAGCCATTATTTAAAACAAATACAAATAGTTATGGCTTCCACATTGATGGAAAATAAATAATTAAATAAAAACAAAAAAACAAACAATCCACACAATCAGTTTGTGTTGGGGTGACATGAAGGAATTTTTTTTTTTTCAGAATTTAGGTAGATTAAACATAAAACAATTAAGTTGTGCCCCAAAAAACTCATTTGAAATTATTATTTGAAAAAACAGCAAACAAAATTTTTAAGTTAAATACATAAATAAGTATGTTACCCACACTTTTGTTCATAAATGTGCACCACGTCAGCTACTGATCTACCTAGTCATCTTTCTAGCCTCTTTTCTAAGCTTCAGTGCGGTCCACATTCTCTTCATGCAGGAATAAGGCCTGTGACAGTGGTGACCAGGTTCAGTAATCACACAGAGCGCTGCTGAAGAGAGAACGCTTGACAGTAACCAGCGGCAATGACTGTCACCCGCGAGATGAAGGGATCACGGCCGCTTTGTTATGCTGTCCTAGAGCATTGCAGGAGCTTTGATTTGAGAGCCAAGACAGAGCAGAATGAAACAAAAGGTTCACACTGGATAGATGTCTCTGCTGTGTCCAAGTAGATGATCTGCTTCAGATCTATAGATCGTGGCACTGTGAAACTGCACCCAAAATTCCTCATCCCACCGGGCAGTTAAAGTTTGCTTGTTTGAATGAATGCAGACACTTATGGATTTACGAGATGAAACTGAATGAATTTTTTGCCTAGAGCAGTACGGGGAACTTTTGAGATGTTCAGGCTGCACAAAGGAGGATCTTTTAGACATACTCCTGTCATTACAATGCATTTCTTTACACTGCAACTTAAACTTTATAGACCTTTTAAGGGGGTACCGGAGAAGTTTTGACAGCCTCATATTTGTGTTTTTTCAGTTTCTTATAAAAATATTAATAGCTAAGTCTGATGACATAGAGTATTTAAAAATATTCAATTAACTGAAAGCAGCATGAATGTACATGTATTTGAAGAAATTTATTTTTAAATATAATATAAAATGTTAATACAAAAAAAAATCACAGTTTGTGACCCTTTTTTGTTGGCAAGGCCATATGAGAAGAAGGGATACTTCACTCAAAAATGCTAATTTAGTCATCATTTACTTTTACATTTACATTTACCTTGGTATTGTTTCAATCACCCCAATATTTATATATAAAAAAAAAAAAACTCAAGCAAAAACAAATTAAATTAAATTAAATTAAATTAAATTAAATTAAATTAAATTAAATTAAATTAAATTAAATTAAATTAAATTAAATTAAATTAAATTAAATTAAATTAAATTAAATTAAATTAAATTATTAATAAAATAAAATAAATTAATGGATAAATGAATCAATAAAATGAACAAATAACCAAATAAATAAATAAATACAAAACACACATACAATAAATAAATAAATAAATAAATAAATAAATAAATAAATACAAACATATACAAACAAACTAACTAAAGAAATAACTAACTAACTAACTAAATAAATAAATAATTTATTAAATACATACAAACAAACAAACACAAATAAAAAAGAATAAAAATAAATAAATAAATACAAACATACAAATAAATTATCAAATAAATAATTAAATAAATACCAAAAATATATGAACAAAAATAAATAAATAAATAAATACAAAGAAATAACCAAGCAAATGAATAAAAATATATGCAAAGAAATTATTAAAAATAATAAAAAAAAAAACATTTGCAAACAAAGTAACCAAATAAATAAATAAATAAAAAACATATGAAAACAAAGAAGTAAATAAATAAATAAATGAATAATAAAAAAAACATATGCAAACAAAAAAGTAGCCAAACAAACAAACAAACAAGCAAACAAACAGACAAACAAAAAAATAAATAAATAAATAAATAAATAAATAAATAAATAAATAAATAAATAAATAAATAAATAAATAAATAAATAAATAAATAAGTAAGTAAATAAATAAATAAATAAATAAATAAATTTAACAACAAAAACCTCTTTTGCTCAATATCTTGCACAATATTGTTTATGTTTTGCGTAAAGTATTTGTATAGTCTGTCTCAGGTTATGTGTTAACTATATATAGTATATGCATAGTTAGCTTACCGCTCCAGTATGTCAGTTACGTATTGGTTAAAAAAAGTTGATCTTACGTCCAGTGTTGTGTTTATATTTATGATTGTTTATTCGTCCATGCATGCAACTGAACTTAAACACTAAAAACTGAACTACCCTGATCCAGTTACTATGACCATTTATGTGAAGCTGCGTTGACACAATCTACATTGTAAAAGCGCTATACAAATAAAGCTGAATTGAATTGAATTGAATGTAGCGGATAATAAATCATAAATTGAAGACTTTATCAAGGCAAGCAGCTATAAGACATTCATAATGTAATTATTACAGCTGCAATGACAACGATGACATCACACTGGCATAGAGCTGACCTGGAGGAAACACACAAGCATGCAGATACTAACCCCTGCGTGCAGTTGGGGTGGCAGGGATGGCACTCGTTGTTGGTCTCGGGATATTTGAAGATAAAGCTGTTTGCTCCCTGCAGACCGTCAGGGCATTTCTCCACACAGTTGGGCCCGTCTTTGAGATGCAGACACTTCACACAGTGATCTGGTCCCTAAAACATGAAAACAGAATACAGGAGAATGACACTTAACTTGTTGAAAATGAAACTATAACATATGTAGAGACCCTTTTTGGTCCTCTGTGAGCTTGATTATTTAGTAAAAAAAAAAAGGTATAGGGATAGTTCACCCAAAACTAAAAAAATCTATCATTATTTACTCCTCCTTTACCTTTTTCTAAACCTGTCTGAACACAAAATAAGTTATTTTGCAAAATGTTAAAAACCTCTAACCATTGACTTTCATAGTGCTTGTTTTTCTTACTATGGAAGTCAATGGTTACAGGTTTCTAACATTTTTCAAAGTAACTTCTTTTGTGTTTTACACTCATTAAGGTTTGGAACCACTTGAGGTTGAGTAAATAGTGAGTAAATTTCAAGTTTAGTTGAACTATCCCGCATGGCGCTGTTCACAACACAAACAAATTGATAGATATTTGATCTAATTGTGCATTTTGAAGCGAAAGTCACATGGTTGGGCGAGTTCCTACATTCTCTTATAGCTTTTATGTTGCTAATTATGCAGCTTAGGAATTGAGATGGAAAGGTAGGTTATCATAAGAAGCTGACAGATTTGTTCATGTGTTTTAAGTCTTATACCGCTATACTTGCATTCTCACTTTTACAGACAAAGTGTAGTTTCATTTAAAAACACACAAATTCTTAAATATGGACCACTTTTTTGGGGATATGGGCTCATTTTATAATGCCCTAGAGTTAAACAAATGAGTTTCACCCATTTTGAATACATTCAGGTGATCTCCGGGAATACGCTTAGCTTCTTTTTTAATTAGATTAGACCATTAGCTTTTCTCTCAAAACAATTCCTATAATTTTCTGATAATTTAAGGCTAGAAAAGAACAACTTTTCGTTTTCTGTCAGTGTTAGTACAAGATGTAACTACAGAAGAGTCAAGCTTTAAATAAGAAACTGATCAAAACTCTATTTTCAATGTTTTGAGTGAAATGCTAATGGTCTAATCCAATTCTATGAATTATGCTAAGCTAAGCTAAGCTAAAAGTGCTTCATCCAGACTCAGAGATTGGTTGAATGTATTCAAAAAGGGTAAAACTGAACCGTTCAACTCAAGGTGTAATGTGAAATGGACGTTGACAACAGGGAGTGAGAATCCAGGTTTATTAAACAGAGATGGTTAGGCAAGCAACAGTCAATACAGGAACAAACAGATGTATACGGGCAATCCAGAACCGTGGTCGATAAACAGACAAATGGCCAGTACAGACAGGCAGCAGGAAACGTAAACAAACAAAACAACAATGCAAAGGCTTA